ACAAATAAGAAAACTGAGCTCTAAAGAATTAAAGTAAAATTCTCAGGTTCACAAAATCTAGTCAATTTGAGTGCTGGGGCACAAACCCTGGGCTCCTGACTCCCACAATACTATGCCAATCTACCTCATAAGAGCTTCATTTAGAAACTAGCAATATATGCCTCTGAAGAAAGGAATTCTTCCATAACAATTCTTACCATACCCTGGTAAGAGGTATTTTAATTCAAACAGTTTTCTTCTAAGACACTAGTTCTTCCACGTTAGACATCCATAAGCTTACCAGGGGCAATCTGCTTCCTTAATGATACAAGGCTACTAACTAGCTTCAATAGGAAACCAAGAAGTTTGGAGGGTCTTCAGTGAGTTCCTGTTATGTTTCTAGCACTGTGCTAGACCCCGTAACTACCATCATCTCACACAAACCATTTCTAGTGGTTGCTGTCTGAAAGTCTGTGGTGGGCAAGATTATTGATTTGGACTGGCAGAGCAGTAGTTTCTTTTTTTGGTTTTCTTCTAACAGAAACCAGGTAGACAGGTTCTATACCTACAGTATGTACAAGAAGAACACTGATATATTGCTATTTATTTTCTTTACTAAAGTGAGTTTCACCAATAAGGAGAGGCAGCATAGCAAAATGGGTAAGAGAATGGCTTCTGAAATCAGACTGCTTAGTTTCACCATTTATTAGCTGTAAAACCTGGGAGAACTTACTTAACCTCTCTGAACCTCAGATTACTTACCTGTGAAATGAAGACAACTTCACTAAGCTGACAGCAGAATTCGATGAATTAATATTTGTAAAGAGCTTAGAGAGTGTCTGGCACATAGTAAGTACCATATGAGTGTTTAAAAAATAAATCAGTAAGATCCTGGTGGTGATTATTAAGCTGCCCCCTGCTTGTGATGAAAGAAGCCTGAATACATATGAGAGCTCAACACCTTTTCACAAGGAAGCAGGAGAACCCCTTCAAGGACACAATGAAGCTCAAGTCCAAGCAGTACAATGCTGATGTCAACAGAAAAGAAATGAAGGATGAAAACAGATCGTGCTGGCAAATCCAAGAAGAACTGGGCACAGACTAAGCAAAATCCGACAGTGATGAATGCAAAGCACTCTACTGGCAACTGCTGCAGTTGTTATCTAAAGGACAGACCAACTGTATGGCCAGCATGGAAGAGTCATAAATTTATTCCATGAAAAAGGTTTTTTTTTTTTTTTTTTTCCCAGTAACACTTAGGTGACTATTGGTTATGTGGGTTAGATGTAAATAGAGTATTACATTCTTTCTCTCAACTCTGAATGAATAGTTCTCACGTGGAAGTCAGGTTTTGCAGATGAGAAAATAAAAGGATATATGACCTAATAAAAATATGTCAGAAAAGCTTCAGCACCAATGAAGCAGGGAATTCGTTAAAAAGGAATACATACGTTTCGGGGAGGCATGTGGGCTGTCTGAGGCGATCTGTCTCATCCTTGTACCATGGCAGCTGAGGGCCACCAGTCTGGAGATGATGGCAGTTTTGCCAAAGCCAATGTTTCCCACAATTACTACTCCTTGGTTCACGCTGGTATTTGAACTTTGAAGTTGAGCATCTATTTCGTGGAAAACCCAATCTCGGCCAACAAACACTGACTCTGTAGTGATGCTGGGCACTTCAAAGAGCAGAGGCTTCAAGGAGATATCTGGAGGCCTATAAGGTGCAAAGCGAACTGAAAGGAACAAGAGAACACAGAACTTAGGTCAAACTGTCAACATTGAGAGAAATAAAGAAAAAAATGCAGTGTGGTTTAAGAGACTTGAGTTATAGTATGATGGCATTCTGGGCTTATTCAGAAAGAATGTACCTCTGAATATTGATTCTATACAGATAAGCAACACAGGTGAGTTTGAGCTATTTGATACTCTAGATTGCAGAATACAAACATTGATAAAAATCAGTAATGATTTACCCAATCAGTCAGAAAGTCGGGATGATATTCAAAATTATTACAGGAAAGGGATGGCCCAAGCACCAGCAATCAGCATGGATGCAAGCCTAGTGAAGCAGAGGGTCCTAAAGGCCTCCTGCTATGCCTCGGATAACCTTTTAATTGTTGGACTGTGGGGAGGTGCAGGAGTCAAGTTCCTGTTGGAAAGACCAGGCTGTGGCGGGGCATCCAGACAGCTTACGACAGCGGCTCTTTACCAACCAGTAAGAAGATATTTCAATACCTAACAACCAATATGGCTATATCAGTATATATCAGTTGAAAATCAGTCCTGAACAAAGCAGTATAGAGAGATTATTTGTTTCTTTAAAAACACCAATAAGAATAGTAATTCCTTTAAGTTCATGATGGTATTTTAAAAAATCTAGTAGGTATTATTAGTAGGGGAAGCAAAGCCTAAAAGTTCTGATGGTTTAAAAGATCTTAAACACTCTAAGCAGTTGAGCAGAAAGCAGGCCTTCATTCAGTGTCTCTGTGCCTGTACTGCTTATATTGATGCCAATTAAAAAATAATTTTTGGCTTATATACATACCTTTGGGGATAGATCCCCACTGCTTTTCTCAAAAATTTTTTTTCTGTACTTACATAATTATAGGATTTGCTAAGTACCAAGAATAAGCTATACTGTCAACAGTTTTCTAAAAATGTAGAATTGATGCGATGTGCTTTAAAAGAAGATCTACCAATTGTATTGATGGTAAAAGAAGTCCTGCCTTATGGTCCATATCTGGGTTAAATGGCCTCCTAAACTGTTCCCAGAGCAGCTCTAAGATGTATCACTTTATCTGTCTGAAACCAGGTATTTCATTTTTGTTTTGTTAACCTTAGCACATTGCCTTGATACATATTAGGTGTTCAAAAAATGCTTAAGGAAAGAATTTATTAAAAATAAGGTACTATACGCTAACTCGATTTTTCAAATATTTTGGAGTACAAGAAAGGCCAGGAGTGGGAAAGGAATGGAAAGAGGAGAAAGAGAAATCACAAAGGGGAAAATGAGATAATTTATACTTGGTACGTTATTCTAGAACATACTTGAACAACTTACGCACCATAAGGTGAGCTATAGAGATGGCAGCTTACATGACAAAACACAGACACATAAAGATTCCAAAAGTAGTGCAAATAATTTAAGATATAAAGCCAAGTTCTGACAACAGACGCAAATAGTTTCCTATATCAGTTTTTAAATGCCTCAAGTTTTCATTAACTAAAGTGGGGTTGTGGGGGTTAGGGGAAGCTGTGGAGATACAGCTACAGGGTCACTTATAATTTCCTGATTCACATTTCTGCAACAAAATTTACTTTTATTTATTTATCTATTAATAATTTCAAATTTTATTTTAGATTCGGGGGCACACATACAGATTTGTTATCTGGGTATATTGTGTGATGCTGAGGTTTGGGGTATGAATGATTCTGTCTCCTGAATCTGTACATGTGCCCCTGAATCTAAAATAAAATAAAAAATTAATAATTTCAACTTTTATTTTAGATTCAGGGGCACACATACAGATTTGTTATCTGGGTATACCGTGTGATGCTGAGGTTTGGGGTACAAATGATTCCATCCCTCAGGTACCAGGCATAGTACCTTCTAGTAAGTTTTTTGACCCTTGCCCCTCCACTTCTTCCCCAGTCTAGCAGGCCCCAACATCTATTGTTACCATCTTTATGTCAACGAGCCATGGGCACTCATTGTTTAGCTCCCACTTATAAGTTAGAACATGTGGAATTTGTTTTATCATTCCTTGCTGTGTTAATTCACTTGGGATAATGGTCTTTAGCTGCATCCATGATGCTGCAAAGGACATAACTTCATTCTTTTTTTATGGCTGTGTGGCATTCCATGGTATATATGTACTGCATTTTCTTTATCCAATCCACCACTGATGGGTACCGAGGGAAATTCCATGTCTTTATTACTGTGACTAGTACTTTGATGAACATATGCATGCATATGTCTTTTGGTAGAACAAAAAAAATCTATTATTTTAAAATCCATACTTGTAATTATAGGATTCAATGAAAAATGAGACTTTAATTTGCCAAATTCCTTTTAAAATCTGCTGTCTTACAGCTAATAGATTCTATTTTACTTTTCTTAAACATTATTTTACTGAGACATAATTCACAAGCCATAAAATTAGGTCTTTAAAAATATACAATTCAGTGGTTTTTAGTATATTCACTAAGTTCTGCAACCATCATCACTATCTATCCCTGAACACTTTCATCACCCCCAAAGAAAACCTATATCCATTAGCTGTCACTCCCTATTCCTCATTCCTCCCAATCCCTGGCAACCAGTAATCTACTTTCTGTCTGTATAGGTTTGCCTATTCTGGACATTTCATATAAATGGAACCACAGAGTATGTGGTCTTTTACTTCTGACTTCTTTTACTTGGCTTAATATTATTCTTTATTTTTACTGCTGAATAATATTCCATTGTATGAATATACCATATTTTGTTTGTTTATCAGTTAATAAACATTCGAGCTGCTTCCACTTTTTGGCTGATTAAATGCTGCTATGAACATTCATGTACAAGCTTTTTTGTGAACATATCCTTTCAATTCTCTTGGCTATATATCTAGGAGTGGAATTTCTGGTTCACATGGAAACTCTTAGGTTCACCTTTTTGAGAAACCGCTCAATTGTTTTCTCTGTTTGGCTTTTACTATATTTTTATTCACTATATTTTCACTATAGAAAACTTAGGAATAGTAGGTAGATAAAATAATAACTGTTTCCAGTAGCTGGAAAGAAATGCTATTAACGTGTATTTTGAGTTTTGTCTGTGCCATATATACTTATTTTAAAGACAAAACTGGGATCATACTATATATACTGTCTCATCATTTCCTTTTTTCATTTAGCAATATAATGTGAACATTTCTCTGCATGATAAAACATAAATCTGTTATCATTTTTAATATGTGTAGACTATTCCATTATATGACTGATCATAACTTACTTAGCCACTATCTTACTGTTGTATGTTTAGATTACTTTGGTTTTCCACTGTTATAATCATAGCTAACAATGAAATAATCTTTACTATATGCCAGAAACTGATTCTAAGCATGCTAACTTGCACAACAGTTTGAAGATGCGGTTATTACTACTTTCATTTTATATACAAAATGGAGGCAAAAAGAGATTACTTGCCTAAGGTCTTTTATCAGTTTGAATCTTATGTACTATGCTCTAGTTCCTCTCATGAAAAGCAGTACTACAAGCAGTTGTACAATAAACATCATCGTATATTCACCTTGGCACACCTTCCTTATTTACTTGAAACAAAATGCTAGAAGTGAAATTTCAGGGTCAATGGGTTGTGTTTTTGACAGACCTTACCAAATTGTTCTCCAGAAAGATTGTACTGGTTATGTGACAATAACCACATCCCTTACAGTCTCATTATCATAGGGTAGTATTAGTATTCTTAATCTTTGTTAATCTAGTTAAGAATGGCATCTCATTATTTTTAATATATATTTTGAGTATGAAAAGTGATTTTTGTGTGTGAAAGGTGCTTTTTAAAAAACACTTCTATTGGCTATTCTGCATCCTTTGTGACTTGTCTGTTCATGGCTTTTACTCACATTTCTATTGGAATGCCTGTTTGTCTTACTGAATTTGTGAGAACATTTTTAACCCTGAGGACATTAATCCTTTGCCTTTCATATTTATTGTTTGCAAATAATTTATTCAGTTCTTTGCCTTTAAATTTTTTCTTTCTTTTTATTTTAGAAGTAATTATTATTATTATT